AAGGCATTAAAACCCATGGAAAAGTGGTTGGAAAATTGTTTGAACATTACCCAGATGACTTATCATTCCTGAACCTCATTCCTGGACATGGCAGAACCGAATCTTTCCGATGCACAGTCAGAGAGCCAGTGTGGAAATCTCAGCCGCAAGAGTTATCATTTGGCAAGGATTGCAGAAACAGAAATCAGGGCTTGATCAAGGGAAGATTAAAACCCATGGAAAAGTGGTTGGAAAATTGTTTGAACATTACCCAGATGACTTATCATTCCTGAACCTCATTCCTGGACATGGCAGAACCGAATCTTTCCGATGCACAGTCAGAGAGCCAGTGTGGAAATCTCAGCCGCAAGAGTTATCATTTGGCAAGGATTGCAGAAACAGAAATCAGGGCTTGATCAAGGGAAGTGCTAGGCATCCTTGACTGGAAGTGTTAATCTCAACGCCGCCTACAATAGTTTTAATCCCTGGCAGAGCAAGTTGGCTTTACACGCAAATTCTGCCTGCCCAAATATTCAGCTGCAGCAAAATGTGAATATCCTTAGCAGAAAATATCCTACAATTGTCCAGTCCAAAAGCCAAAGCATTCTGCTCCCTATCACAAAAAAATTGACAGGGAAATGCTACCACAATTCATCCTCTACCCACCGAGCTTTGTTGTCAGACTGCACCTCCCATGAAACACCACTCGTGGTGAGCCAAGGTGATGGCATTATGAGAATCCCTGACTGTGATGCATCATGGGAGATGTAGTCCCATTGAAGAGCACAGCCTATAGAGGAAAATGGGCCTCTATATTGCAGTACTTTAGAGACATGCTAACCCTCTGAAACTATTTCAAAATAGTACATCCACACGACAGGAAAGCTTCGAAATTAGTCCGAGGCAGGGTCCCTTAATGTGGACACGCTACCTCGACTTAGAGCCCCGGGAAGCACTTTAAATGTCTCTGCGGACATTTCGAAATAACAGCAGAGGGAGTTTTCAAAGCCAGCTGAAGACAGTAAGTGATTGCTTCCCACCCCTTACATAGAATTTCCCCAGGGCAGAAATCCTTTGATTCATTCTCCTTCAGTCTCCCCATTAAAGATGGATTCCAGCAACACGTGGCATGGTCACATGTCTTTGTAGGACAGCTTGGGCTGGTAGGAAAAACAAAACCGTTTACTGATCATTGTCTTGAGCACCAGGCCATTAAGTCTGCTAAATACCACTAATGGCTTTCACTAGAAGACCTGATTAATAAAACATGTTTATACTTCATACTTCTAACTTCACCTACAAGAATGATACACACATACAAATAGAAACTACACATTCAGGGAAGCACAGGCTTTTGAACGATAGGCTACATGCCCTGTTCTGCACAAAGCATATTCGAGATACACATATTCCTATTAAAAAACATATTCTATCAGGGTGCATCTACACAGCACCCTTAGCTTGAAATAAGCTATGCAATTTGCGCTACGCAAATTGTGTAGCTTATTTCGATGCTATTTCGAAATACAGGCAGTCCCCGGGTTACATACAAGATAGGGACTGTAGGTTTGTTCTTAAGTTGAATTTGTATGTAAGTCGGAACTGGTACATATTGTAGGGGAAACTCTAGCCAAACATTTCTCCAGAGCTCAGTTTTATTCTCCCACACCTCACTTCCCTCAGGCTTTATTCTCAAGCTGAGGTGTCTGCTGAGAAAAGCCGCTCCACCTCTCCCTGGTCTGCTGGGGTGGGGGGGCGCTAGCTTCGCATCTCCCTGGTCTGCTGGGGGGAAGCAGCTAGTGCGGGGTTGCCTCACCCCGTTTTAATTTGGCACTGTCAACACTGTGCCAAATTTTGAAATAACTCACTATTCTGAAAATAGCAAGGGTTACCAGGATGTTGGAATAAGACGCCTGTTATATCGAAATCTATTTCAAACTAACAGGCTGTTTCAATAGACGCGGAATAGGTATTTCAGGATATTTCCAGGATCCCGAAATAACTCCGCATTATGGACGTATCCTTACAAATATGGGGGCGCAGCGTGACACAGAGAAAGGAGACCAACGTGAGAGCAGAGCCACAGACCAACGGCCTTCGTCAGGCCGAGTCAGGATACCAGACAGAGGAGTGGTCCCCAACCTTTTGGGGCTGCTGAGCGCCCAGGGGCCGGGCCACTCATGTGCCGGGCACCCGGGGGCGGGGAGGCACACGTGCCGGGGGGCGGGGCTGTGCACGCGCACGGGGGCGGGGCCACCCATATGCTGCATGCCCAGTGCCGGTGCCACCCATGCGCTGCACTCCCGGGGCCGGCGCCGCTCCTGTGCCGCACGCCCAGGAGCTGGCATCACCCACGCACTGCGCACCTGGGGCCAGCGCTGCTCCTGCGCTGTGTGCACAGGGATGGGGACGCCCATTCACTGTGCACCCGGGGCCGGCACAGCCCATGCACCGCACACCCAGGGGAGGGGCTACCCATGTGCTGCGTGCCCGGGGCCAGCGCCACGCCTGTACCATGCGCCATGGGGCCGGCACTGCCCTTGCACTATGCACCTGGGGCCAGGCCCGCCCATACGCCGCATGCCCGGTGCCGGTGCCACCCATGCGCCGCACTCCTGGGTCCGGTGCCGCTCCTGTGCCGCACACTCAGGAGCCAGCAGCGCCCATGCACTGCGTGCCTGGTGCTGGCACCGCTCCTGTGCCATGTGCCTAGGGGTGGGCACGCTCATACGCCACACGCCCAGGGCCAGCACAGCCCATGTACCGCATACCCAGGGGCCGGCACCGCCCATGCACCACGTGCCAGGGTGCGGGGCTGGCCCCGATCACTCGGCGGGCGCACAGAAATGGCCTGGAGGGCGCCATGGCGCCCATAGGTACTGCGTTGGGGACCACGCTCTAGGGCTAGATGGATGGTTCAGAGATTCGCTTGGGGCAATGGAGGAGGTTTAGATGTGGGGGTTGGGGACATGGAGAACAGGTTCCAAGTCACAGGACAGAGGTGGGGACAAATACCGGATTTCTCCCATTGATCCCCAGGATTGGGGTGGAGGGAGGTGCCTAGTTCTCGACATGTGGGACAGCTTCCCCGATATGGCAATCACGGGTATGACTCACCGGGCCGGGCCATTTCTCTGCGATATAAAGTAACCCGTCCCAAAACATCCTCAGCTTTCTCCAAGACGCGACTGCCGAAGCCTCTTCCGCTCCTGAAAGCCCCCTGCCAGGCGTTACAGGTGAAGCAGGGGCTATCCCGCAGTCAGGCTGGCTGGCGGGGAAAGTCATGGTGATGAGGTGGAAAGGAGAACGCGGAGGTTGCAAGAGCAAGGTTGGGTGGCGGGTTAGAGCACCGCCATGTAATGGGGTGATTATAGACAACTACCAGGGATGGTCCAGACGGTGCTGGGTCCTGCCGGGAGGGCAGGGGACTCGCCTCGATGACCTCCCGAAGTCCCTTCCAGCTCTAGTGTTCTATGATTCCGTGATTATGGGGAGCCAGGGGACAGTGCTCTGTTTTGGGGAGACAATGGGCTGCCACAGGGGCATGGCTGTGTATTCGGATGATTACGGGGTGGAATGGGGCACACAGTAGAGACGGATGGTTTGGTGGTTCACTGCTCAGCTGTCTTCTTACTGCTGGGCCACTGCAGCCTCTCTGTACTACCTGGGCCCAATCGCGTAGCTGCTCCGTGCCTCAGTTTCCCCATCTGTACGGTGGGGATCGTAGCCCTGCCCAGCCTCATGAAGGAGCTCTGGGGAGAAATACGGCAATAGCTCCAAGGTGCTACAGTAATGGAGGCCAGCGGGCACCTTAGATCTAGTCATTTCTCTTTTAACAAGCTGGTTTGGGGGGAGTTGCCCTCCTTTGTTATTGTGGCAGCACATTGAAGGAGAACAGGTTGGCTCCAGCCAGCTCAGGGAAGCCTTTGACCTGTGGCTTTCCGCCCCAACAGATCAAATCTGGGGGGCAAGGGAGGCTAAAACCGGGCAGAGGAAGGGAACCTCAGGCCCGGAGGCCGGATGTGGCCCTTGGCTTGCCTGGATCCAGCTCTCAGGTTTCAGGTCCCCCCCCCCACAGCATTGGGGAGCCCAGGCTGGTGCTCCAGACCCCCTGCTACCCTCCCCCGGGGGCTGGAGTGCATAAAATCTACTAGGCTGGGTCTCCCAGGCTCTGGTGTGCATGGGGAGTGTCTTTCTCCCACTCAGTCGGGGGCCACAGCGAGGGGTTTTTCCCCCGCTTCTCCCGTGTGTGCGGTCCCCGACTGATTTTTCTGTGGGACAGTGGCCCTGACCCAAAAAAAGTTCCCCACCCCTGCATTAGACCGTACAGCGCATCTATACGCCCACGTCCCCATTCCCTGCAATAACCTCCCGGGATAGGCAGGGCTGCCAAGGGGCAGAGGAAGTAGGAGCAAGAACGGACTCAAACATCGCTTTCCTGACACCAGAGCGAGCAACTTACCTGTGAGGCAGCCGCCCTCCTTAAGACACTCAGGGCCAACGATTCCCTTCCTATCTATTTCTCTGCAGTGAACCCAGCGACGCCACTGACTGTGTCCATCGCCACCGCCGCCATGCAGCTGCTGGTCCTTGCCGTGCTGGTCGCCGGGGCAACGGCAGGTAGGAAAAAGCCTCTCCCCCTCTCCCCCCGTGAGAAGCCAACATGGGGCAGGGTGAGCGGGTTCTGTGGTTTTACCGCAGACTCTTCAGAAACGTCTCAAAGATTTTCCTGAAGACAAGTTGCTGCTCAGGAAATGCAAAATTCCTGGCAGTCCCTTTATCAAGTCCCCAGGTTACATAAGGGAATTAATATATTCTAATTTGTGTTTATTGTTCCCGGAACAGGCAGGGAGCCATGATTTCACAATGTGCTTTTATCTCAAATCAAGGCACAAGGAAACAGACATTTCCCACAAACAAAAATATTTCTGGAGGGGGAGGGGGAATCTGTTTCACTGAGATTTCGATGTCTTAAAATGTAAAGCGCTTTTAAAACTGTCACTTTTATCGAGCATCATTGCTCATAGAATGGCAAATCTCCAAAGAAAAATGTGCAACCAAGCAAAAAAGTCACAAAGGCCAGACTGCGTATCCCATAAAGCACCAGGCACCTCTTGGTGAGGAGTGGCTTGTGCATCATGGGAGTCCCTGGTCAGGATGCATCCTGGGAGCAGTGCCGGACCAAGCCATACTTGCACCCAGGGCAGCAGACGCATGGCACATGCGCGGCCCCACCCCCGGGCACGCGGCGCCTGATTGACATGGTAAGGGGCGCCGCAACCCTGGGCGTGCAGCGCATGTGCGGTGCCACCCCCCAGGCACCAACCTATGTGGGGCGCCTGACTGAAGTGGTGCCCCTTACCACTTCAATCAGGCACCCCCATAGTTTGGTACCCCGGGCAGCTGCCCGGCTAGCTCCCCCCTTTATCCAGCCCTGCCTGGGAGACATAGTTTGATAGTCTAGACCATGGGTTCCCAAACTGGGGGGTGTGCCCCCCCCGAGGGGGCATGAAGAAATTCCAGGGGGGGCACGAGGCAACCCAGCCAAAAACACCCCCGTCAATCCCACCCCAAGCTTTGCTGCGATTTTTTTGGGAGGGTTTCTCAAAAATCAAAAAGGGGGCGTGATGCCGAAAAGTTTGGGAACCGCTGGTCTCTTCAGACGATTAGCTCATTTCGATCTATTTTTAAACCATTCGCATCCCATACAACACAATCCCGTAGACATTTTCAACTTTGAGAAAATGGCTGTCTCTGGAGGGAACACATTCCTTCTGAAAAACTTGGGCAGTTTTAATTATTTGTGTGGCGGGAAAGCCTAGAAAGGCCAGTCCCTGACCACTCCCCCTGCTCTCCGGAGCATCTCAGCAAATCCAGGTGGATTTTCATGTGAACAGCAAAAGGCTTTTCCCTGCCCCAGGGCTCTTCCCTAGTGAAAGTTCAAGTCCCGGCTGCCAAGTAGTCCAAAAAATGACTGGAAAATGGTTTGAACCTTGCAAAATGAAGGTGCCTCCTGGGTCGCTAGTCCAGGCCCTGCTCCTATGAATGTCTCAAGCGTGTGAGCGGTGGCTCATAGTCATCCTGTGGCCAGCCAATCCTCAGGGACATGCCTGATACTTGCCCCGCCCCTTTTCCTGCTCATGGCTTCTCTCCATTGCAGCCTCATTCTCAGAGAAGAATGAAGAACGAGTCCTCGGGGAGAAGCTCTGCGGCGTTGGCTTGCAGCCCTACCAAGCGGCTCTCCTCAGGAACGGCAACAACATCTGTAGTGGGAGCCTGGTGCACCCGAAGTGGGTGCTAACTGCTGCACACTGCAACATTGACATTGGGTAAGTCAGTGCGGGGGTGGAGAGGGATGGGGATGCCTGGGAATTACCCACGTCCCCAGATCTTATCTTCTCCCGTGGTGTCCTCCATCCATGCCCACGTCTCCCTCTTTTCCCCCAACCCAGCCCCAGCCACCTCTATTGTTTTCCAGCCCTCAAAGCATTTTTCTTCTCTGCACCAGCTGTGGTTTTCCAGCCACTTTCTGCAGATGTGCCCGTATTGGTCTGCCCTGCGGCGTGGGCAGGAGGGAACAGGCCCTGCACTCCCCAGCGTTACACCGTGTGGTTCCTGCTGCCGGCTCGTGGGCGGGCGGCCGAGGAGCTGGATGGAATGGGGGGGAGCTGTGGGAAAGATTTTCCCTTGACTCCGGCCGGATGCTGTTTGTTTTCAAGCTGGGGGAGGGGTGTGCCTGCGACCCACTGTGGTTCAGGGAGTCCACGGGGCCCAGTAGCTAAACCCTGGAACCCTGAGTCCCAGCGCCTCCCACGTGGCTGAGGCCCCAAGCCTTGTTCACCCCGCAAGGCTAACGCCCAAGTGTGCCCACCCCCCAGCTGAGGGCTGGACAGCGGAAGAGACGGGCTGTGAGGGGCTCCGGGAACTACTCGATGAGAATGAAATCCCTGGAATGGAGGTGGGGTGTCCAGAACCATGGGGTGCCTCAACATTGAAAGCAATGGGGGTTTCCTTTCTAGAGCTCTGTCAATACTGCAGAGAGATCTGTCCTTCCCCTCCCCTCTGTGTGCCCTGACTCTGTTTGCTAGGACTCAGCAGGTACCTCTATTGCATTTAGAAAAACACGTTAAAGCACGTAAATAATATGTTACAGGCCCTTGAATAGCCACCCATTGATCTCATATATTGTTAATAGAAGAATTAGGGGGCCACTAAATGAAATGAATAGGCAGCAGGTTTCAAACGAACAACAGGAAATTTGTCTTCACTCAGCACACAGTCAACCCGTGGAACTCCTTGCCAAAGGATGTGGTAAAGACCAGGACTTTAACAGAGTTCAAAAAGGAGCTAGATAGATTCATGGAGGTTAGGTTCATCAATGGCGATTAGCCAGGATGGGTAGGGATGGTGTCACTGGCCTCTGTTTGTCTGGAGGTGGGTAATGGGGGAGGAATCACGTGAGGATTACCTGTTGTGATCCCTCCCTCTGGGGCATCTGGCATTGGTCACGGTCGGCAGACAGGACACAGGGCTAGATGGACCTTTGGTCTGACCCAGAATGGCTGCTCTTATGTTCTCATGTTCTTCCTTTGTCCTGTCTCCATGCAGGACGTTGCAGGTGCATCTGGGGAAATACGATCTACGGGTGAAGGAAGACACGGAACAGATTCTAACAATTAAAAATGTCTTTGTGCACCCGGAGTATAACGTCCGCAGCCCTAGTGACAACGACTTCATGCTTGTGGAGTTGCAGAAGCCTGCTCAGCTCAACAACTTTGTGAAAACAATCCGCCTGGCGACCCATTGTCCTGATCCTGGATTGCAATGCAGAGTCTCAGGATGGGGCTCCATCAACTCCACCCAAAGTACGCTGGGGCCAAGAGGGGAGGGGAGGGGACGAGGTCGGGTTCCTCAGGGGGAGGAGGTGGAAGCTCCTTCTGGAGACCTTGATAACAAGCTCTCAGGGGTCTTTGGCTTCTCTGGGGGGAATCAGCGTTGGTGAAAAACGCAGCTTTGAAACCACCAAATTGTCCCCCTGATTTGGGGTCAATTCCAAAACAAATATTCTGAAAGACCTTTGCATGTGAACCCTCTGAGATGCAAAGGCTTGATGGGCTGGTCCTTCTTGGGGCAGGGGGCTGGACTCGATGCTTCCAGAGGGTTCTTCCCGTCTTCTATGATGGGTAGATTTTGTTTCCATTTGGAAGGCCTCCTTTAGGAGCTTTCCTTTCCCTTCCTTTGCAAGGCAGTTCTAAAGCTTCGCACGCAATTCGCCTCAAAGGGAAATATTAAAATGGCTCATAATGCTAGAACTGCATGAAACTGTGTAATGCCAAAAGGCAGAACTGAACCTGCAACTTCTGGAGCAGGAGCGAGAAGCCAAGGGGCTCCTAGCTAAGACCAGAAGAGCTGAGTCATTACTCTCTGTCCAATTGGTCACTGTGTCACTAAGGGGGACTGTTCTGAACACCCGGGGAAACCAAGAGCATCCATGGGCAACAGAGCAAGGAGTGGGGGGGGGGGGGGGGAGGAAAGGGAGGTTTGCATCACTGACGGGGCAGGGCCTTGGGCAGAGCTGAGGCAGCCAACCCTCAGAGCTGCGCGGAGTCCACAGAGCACTACTCTGACCACAATTTCAATTGGTGGGCCTGGGCAATTTGCGCCCCCTGCCATGCCGTTGGGCGTAACCACACCCAGACGATGTGGGTTACACATTCATTGGGCATAAACTGGGGAGCGGGGTTTCTGCCTTTTCTCTTCACCCACAATTATCTTTTTTGGAAAATGAACATGGCCAGATCGCTACATGATTGGAATCTGCTGTAGCTCCACTGGAGTCAATGGGGCAGATCCCGGCTGGGGCAATGGGCCATAGCTCCACTGGAGTCAATGGGACAGATCCTGGCTGGGTCAATGGGCCGTAGCTCCACTGGAGTCAATGGGACAGATCCTGGCTGGGTCAATGGGCCGTAGCTCCACTGGAGTCAATAGGGCAGATCCCAGCTCGGTCAATGGGGCAGATCCCGGCTGGGTCAATGGGCCGTAGCTCCACTGCAGTCAATAGGGCAGATCCCAGCTGGGTCAATGGGCCGTAGCTCCACTGCAGTCAATAGGGCAGATCCCAGCTGGGTCAATGGGCCGTAGCTCCACTGCAGTCAATAGGGCAGATCCCAGCTGGGTCAATGGGCCGTAGCTCCACTGCAGTCAATAGGGCAGATCCCAGCTGGGTCAATGGGCCGTAGCTCCACTGCAGTCAATAGGGCAGATCCCAGCTGGGTCAATGGGCCGTAGCTCCACTGCAGTCAATAGGGCAGATCCCAGCTGGGTCAATGGGCCGTAGCTCCACTGCAGTCAATAGGGCAGATCCCAGCTGGGTCAATGGGCCGTAGCTCCACTGCAGTCAATAGGGCAGATCCCAGCTGGGTCAATGGGCCGTAGCTCCACTGCAGTCAATAGGGCAGATCCCAGCTGGGTCAATGGGCCGTAGCTCCACTGCAGTCAATAGGGCAGATCCCAGCTGGGTCAATGGGCCGTAGCTCCACTGCAGTCAATAGGGCAGATCCCAGCTGGGTCAATGGGCCGTAGCTCCACTGCAGTCAATAGGGCAGATCCCAGCTGGGTCAATGGGCCGTAGCTCCACTGCAGTCAATAGGGCAGATCCCAGCTGGGTCAATGGGCCGTAGCTCCACTGCAGTCAATAGGGCAGATCCCAGCTGGGTCAATGGGCCGTAGCTCCACTGCAGTCAATAGGGCAGATCCCAGCTGGGTCAATGGGCCGTAGCTCCACTGCAGTCAATAGGGCAGATCCCAGCTGGGTCAATGGGCCGTAGCTCCACTGCAGTCAATAGGGCAGATCCCAGCTGGGTCAATGGGCCGTAGCTCCATTGGGGTCATGGATCTGTGTCGGTTTACACCAGTTGAGGGCCTGACACTAAGTTTTCTTCTTCTGCACCTTGTATTGAAACTCTTCTTTTCCTGCCATTGCCCAGGCCAGCCAACAGACGTCCTGCAGTGCGCGGATATCTACACCGTCAGCCAGGCCAGGTGTCTTGAGACTTACCCAGGCAAGATCACGGAGAACATGTTCTGCGCTGGTGTGGAGCAGGGCGGCATCGGCTCGTGCAAGGTATGTGTGTCTATTAGGGATGTCAGCGAGTAGTCGAGTACTCAACTGCTGAGGGGCAGCAGTGGGGGAGCGAACAGGAGCCGGTGCTGGGGGAGCCAGCTGAAGCACCGTCTCTGCAGTGCCGTCTGCCTACCCCCGCCCCACTGCCCTATCAGAGGCAACGGGGAGGGAGAGGAGGCTGCTCCAGCAGCAGCCCTGTTGGCAGTGGCCCATGAACA